AATCCCCCACTTCTGCCACACTCTTTCTTACCCTCCTCATCTCCATTGCCCAGACTGCTCGTTTTCTCTCTTTGTCTTATCCTCCTCACAGTTCTCTAACTCACCCTCAGCCCAAACAAACACTCTTCCACCTTGCCCCAGTTCCCAATACAAAGACACAACTTAGCCCTGCTAACTTTTACTTAGTAAAAGTTGGTCAAATGGTGGGGTGGGGAGTTGGGGAGAGAGAGCATGGGGAAAATGCCAGATATAGGTGAAGGGGAGGAAGGCAGCAAATCACACTGCCACATGTGTACCTATGCAGCTATCTTGCATGTTCTTCACATGTACCCCCAAACCTAAAATGCAATAAAAAGAAAAAAAAAGTTGGTCAAATCCATGTTTGTAGAATCCTTCAGGACTCAGATCAACAGTCATCTCTGGAGATCGGTTAGCTGGTTTCCCAGTTGCCCCAGAAGCTTTATGCAGATCACGGTGTCCCTGTGTTTAAAGTAGGGTCTGTTTATATCTTTCTTCCCCACCAGATCGTGAGCTGCCCAGAGACAGGAACTGAGTGCCATTCATTTTTGGGAAATCAATTCTTCTCTCCCATGTGCATCTTAGGAGCATGTCACATCCTAAGTTAGGCAAGACATATTCAGCAAACCACTGGACTCAAGATGCCATAGCTTTTCTTCCTTCCTCCCTCTCCCTTTCTTCTCTTCATCTCACTGTGGGTGCTGGGAGAGGGAGTCAAACTGGGGAGTCACCTGGGGTTTCTCTCCAGCCCACCCACACTTGCTTTTTTATCCCCATAAAGAAGTCCTATTCTCATTTTCATCTTTTTCTTTATATCAGCTCACAAAGGCAGATCAGGAAGAATTTGAATGTGCATTAAAACAGAAGCCAAATAATTAGCAACGGAAACACAGTTGGGGGGGCGGTTGGTGGGCAAGCAGAAATACAAATGCCTAACCTGCACTCTCTGAAAAGGAGGGGAGGCACTGGCATTTCTTGCTGGAGTTGGTTGCTTTTCCAATCAGAAGTGACCTAATGACTCCTTCTAAGTAAAAAAAGAAAACAAACAAAATAAATCAAAAGCACCACCAACAACATACAAATTGGATGTTTGCATTAAGATAGGTTGAACTTTTTGATTCTTAGCATGTTTACTTTTCAGTGCTTTTGCAAAATATTTGTTGAACAAATAATAAGTGATGTTAAAGTTGTTGACATAGGTTTTGAAAAAGGATTTAATGAAGTGGTAGTGAAACCTAGCTGCTGATGACAATAGTACAGTCGGATCAACCACCCTTCATTCTAACAATTATTTAACGAGAGTCTATTAGTCATACTCCGTTAGGTAAAGAAGCATAGCGTGGTCTTTTCTGTCAAGAGGCTGGAAACCAGGGGCCTAGGGGAAATGCACATGAATTCAAAGCTAAGCAAATTGAAGCATGTGAAACAAGAGTTGTTCAAAAGGTAGAACTCGACCAACTGTCAAGTGAGTGATATCGACAGTAATCATTTTGAGACCTGAGAAAGGAGTGGTGCTCTGTGCCAAGGAGTTAGTAGACAAAGCTCGGAGGTAGGAATGCTCACAGTGTGTTCCTGGGATATTGGCTTAAATGATCTGCCTAATTAGGAGGGTTTTGCTTTGAGGAAATGATGTTGGAAAAGCCTGTGGAGGCCTATTTGAGGATAAGAAGTTAGTTTTCCTGTTACACCACTGGTTCTCAAACTTGACTGCCATCTCTAGAATTACCAGATAAACAAATTATGAATGGATGCCTTGGTCCTATACCCAGAGATTCTGATTTAATTAGCCTTGGAAAACTGAATGCTTTTAGATTTCTACTAGGCTATAGTGGCTTTTAATCCAGTTGAATATTAGAATCAAGTGGGGAACTTTTAAGACAATATGAAAGACAATTCACAGAATGAGAGAAAATATCTGCATATTACCTATCTGATAAGAAACTTGTATTAAGGCTGAGACAGGAGGATCACCTGAGGTCGGGAGTTTGAGACCAGCCTGGCTCATATGGAGAAATACCATCTCTACTAAAAAATAAAAAAAATTAGCTGGGGTGGTGGTGGGCACCTCCAATTCTACCTACTCAGGAGGCTGAGGCAGGAAAATTGCTTGATCCCAGGCAGCAGAGGTTGCAGTGAGCCAAGATCATGCCACTGCACTCCAGCCTAGGCGATAGAACGAGACTTTGTCAAAAAAAATATAAAAAATATATAAAGAACTCTATAATTCAATAACAAAAAGATAAATAACCTAACTAGTTAATAAATGGGCAAATGATCTGAATAGACATTTCTCTAAAATGAATAGACCAATGGCTAATAAACACATGAAAAGATAAATAATACCATTAGTTATTATAGAAATGCAAATCAAACCATGATGAGATATCACTTCATGCCCACCAGGATGGCTATAATAGAAAATATGGACAATAACAAGTGTGGGCAAGGATAAGGATAAAATGGAGCCCTCATTCACTGCTAGTGAGACTGTATGATGGTGCAGTTGCTTTGGAAACAGCTTGGCAATTGCTCAAAAAAACATAGAGTTACCATATGATCCAGCAATTTTTCTCCTGCTAAATACCTAAGAAAGTTGAAAACATATGTCCACATAAAAATCTGTATGCAAATGCTCACAGCAGCATTATTCATAGTAGCCAAAAAGTGATGAATGGAAAAACAAATGGAAAATACAATGGAATATTATTTGGCCATAAAGAGTGATGAAGTTCTCTGATGCATGCTACAACATGGATGAACCTTGAAAACATTATGCTAAGTGAAAGAAGCCAGACACAAAAAGCCATATATTGTATGATTCAGTTTATTAAAAAGGTCCAGAGTAGGCAAATTCATAGGGCCAAAGTAGATTAGTGGTTTCCAGGGATTTAAGGGAGGGAGGAAGAGGGGTGATGGTAAATGACCATAGTATTTCTTTTTGGAGTAATGAAAATATTCTGGAATCAGATAGTGGTGATTCATTCATAATGTTGTGAATATGTTAAAAAAGTCTGAATTTTACACTTTAAGACAGCAAACTTTATAGTAACTGAATTATAGCTCAATAAAATTGTTATCTAAAATAAAGAAAAAAACTTAATCCTTTTCCACCTATCTCCCCAGTCTAGACCAATTAAATCAGAATTTCCAGAAGTGGGAGGACCTGAGCACAGATATTTTTTCATTTTAAAGTTCTTGATATAAACAGCATTGATTTTTCAAAAAAGAATTTTGTAGAGATGGGGTCTTGCTATGTTGCCCAGTCTGGTGTTGAACTCCCAAGTTCAAGCAATCTTCCCACCTTGGCCTCCCAAAGTGCTAGGATTACAAAGATGTGAGCCATCATGGCTGCCAGCATTGTTGATTATGTAGGAGACAAAAAGCTATTATTAATTTAGTTCTCTGCCAGTCCTTTCTTGGCAAAACAAAAACAAAACAGCTGTGTGTATGAATTCAAATTCAGTGAATTGTAAATTTCATTTAAAAATGAATCTGATTCTATTCAGCTCTTTGGTGTAGGTATATGGAATGTTGTTTCAAATAAAGAAAATGCAAGTAGGTAAATAATTATTAGCATAACCCAAACAAGAGCAAAAAAATGCTTTTGTTTGTATTGAAATTTGAATCAAAGACACAAAGTGGTTTGTTGTTGTAGAAACATTTGGAAGTTCTCTTGGTTGCAAAGCTGATTCTCAGTGCTTCAGTTCTCTACTTCTCAGGTGCTTGTAGACAACTTGGGTTTTACTTGTCGTTTTGCTCACCATTTGTTTGGTCACTTTAGACAAATCAGCTGATGTTTCTACGCCTTATACAGTCATTAGGAAAAAGAAAAAAAAAAAGAATAATACTGTCATGTGCCAGCAATGGGGATACTATGGGAAATGAGACAATGTGTTCTCTTCCCTCATGGAGTTTATAACCTAGTTTCAGTTTCTGTGCTTTTAAAGATTGAACGAAATGATCTCCAGGTTCTTTGATGTTTTATTGGGATAGGAGTAAAGGTAGATGATGGACCAGAGAGATAACTCCTGTAAGACTCTTTCACCTTTTATGATTTAAGGGCATAAATCTATGAATTTCTTGAGGAGGCTTTTCTATGAATTTGGTGTGGAAAACAAATTAAAGGAAACTTTTGGGTTATGTTTTTTCTTATCTCTTCAGCTCACTCTTGGAATGGGCAATAAATAAAGTAAAAACTTTTCAAAATATTTTAATTCCTTTACAAAATCCTGTATCACAACTTAAAAACGAATCTATCTGTAGACTGGGTGTGGTGGCTTATACCTATAATCCCAGCACTTTGGGAGACTGAGGCGGGTAGATCACTTGACGCTAGGAGTTTGAGACCAGCCTAGCTAGCATGGTGAAACCTTGTCTATACTAAAAAATATATAAAAATTAGCCAGGCCTAGTGGTGCATGCCTGTAATCCCAGCTACTCAGGAGGCTGAGGCAGGAGAATTGTTTGAATTTGGGTGGTGGAGGTTGCAGTGAGCCAAGATTGCACCACTACACTCCAGCCTGGGTAACAGAGCAAGACTGTCTCAAAAACCAACCAACCAACCAAACAACCGAACAAACAAACAAATCTATTTGCGTGTCTGTGTCAAGCAATAAAACTACCTCCAAGTATATCACTCCATCAGGAAATCGGCCCAATACATAATTAATATTAATGTCTTAGGAATATAGATTCAAAAATTGTGAGTGCATGGCTGTGGTGCTCATTGCCAACAGAAAGTCATGTGCTGCCTTCCAGGTGAAAACATGCTTCATTGTTCCATTCAAAAGAGGACGAAAATAATATCAAAATGTTAACTTTTGAACTCTCAGTATAATTATCCCCCCAAGAGGTCCTACATCTTCTGCCAAGAGAAAACCTTTGCTGGAGATCTGTTCATTTAGTTAATTAATACATTTTGCTTTCAGGAATAAAAATTATCCTTATATTCTTGTTATAAGCAAATGATTTCTTCCCCCCAGGAATCAAGATTTTGGTGAAGCAGTCGCCCATGCTTGAGGCATATGACAACACGGTCAACCTTACCTGCAAGTATTCCTGCAATCTCTTCTCAAGGCAGTTCCAGGCATCCCTTCATAAAGGAGTGGATAGTGCTGTGGAAGTCTGTGCTGTGCATGGGAATTACTCCCAGTTGCTTCAGGTTCACTCAGCGACGGGGTTCAACTGTGATGGGAAATTGGGGAATGAATCAGTGACATTCTACCTCCAGAATTTGTATGTTAACCAAACAGACATTTACTTCTGCAAAATTGAAATCATGTATCCTCCTCCTTACCTAGACAGCGAGAAGAGCAATGGAACCATTATCCATGTGAAAGGTAACATATAACTTTACCAGAATACCACCCTAAAGTGATGGTTTTCAAATGCAGTCCAGAAAACTAGGTCTTGGTCAGTGGTAGGGTTGAATAAGGCCTAAGTGATTTGATACTAACAAAGACAAATAATGTTTTCAGAAAGTTTTTTCCTTTTACTGTAGAGTTTCAAGGTTATATTTCGAGTATCTTTATTTTTCTTTGCTGACATTGAGTGGGAGAGTAAGTGATAAAGTTGCAGTGTGTGGGACTAGATCATTCATTTTTCTCCATTCGAGTGGGTCATGGCAGAAAAAAGGTTACGGTTAAAATGTAAGCCCAGGTGCCCTCAAGTAACAGCTGGATCTAATGGGTTAAGACTCAGGAAGACTCAGTTCTATTTCTAAGTAATTCTTTTTTGGGGTCCATAATTTTCCTCTGTAAAAGTACCTTTCCATTTTCTTAAACGTACAAAGAATGCTGAACTAGAAACCAGAGGACATGAAATTTGCTATTAATCAATTCTGTGATCTTGGATAAGTCACCTAACTTTTTCATGGTCAAAAACTCAATACAATTATTAAGCAGTATTTGTGAATTAGTGAAAATAAGTCTACTGAGCTTTTGTTGACATTATGTTCTCTCTAAATGGTGGGGAGAAAAATCATGATTCCCAACTCAAAAGAATATAGTTTATTGATAGCAACAAGTAAAATCTGATTTTTTTTGGCATCCTTTGTGTATATGTCATAGCTTTTCCCTTTTATGGAATGATAATAAGAAAAATATATGTTAAGTTTTATATTGAATCCTAGTATAATGCCAATTACTGTTTTTTTTCTATGCTGGAACAGAGCCGTGCTGATGAAAAATAGGATACTAAATAAGGAAAGAACCATTAACTTAATGTGGCAGATTAGCTTTTGTGTTCTGGCAAAATAGAGACAATTAATGTGTGAATATTTTGTTTGCTGAGTCCCATTTAGATTTCTAATATCTACAATGTCCAAGCAGAATATTTTAATTGTATCAGGTCAAAGGTTACACAATTATGCTATTTTGCTTGTAGCTAAGAGTGAAATATTTTTTCCTATATGAATGATACTATTACTTTAGGATAGTATTTTACATATATGTATACACACATATACACATAATATGTCATTTATAGTAGAACTGGGAAGGACACCAGTGATCCTGTACTTAGTAATTTTCAATCCTATCTGCATATTATAAATTTGAGTAGGTTTTAAAAGAAATATCAATGCCTAGTTCCAGGCATTGAGATTCTCATGTAATTGATATGGGTTGAGGAAGGGGTGCTGGACATTGTTATTTTTTCAAACTTCCTAAGATAATTTAATGTGCAGCTAGAATTGAAAATCAGTGGACTAGAGGATTATTGGTATGCTTTCTAGTTCTAATTGTCTCTAATTTTGAATAGAACTCTACAGGTTCCTTCTCATCCCCTTTTGATTCCCAAAGATATAAAGCTACTTGTTCGTCATCATATAATCTATTAGATAGACTTGGAGCTAGAAATTTATCCTCTGATTACCAGTCTAGTGTTCTACTACCCATGTTAGGCTGATGATTTTTTTAAGGCTAAAAACATGTATTTTATTCAACTTATTCCAGGGATGCAGTTTTGGGTCCTGATGAACTATCTTCTGATGGAAGAAAGGGGTGAAGTTAGGTTAAGGCCATTGGAAGTTACCATTTTGAATTACACTGTAGAGTCCACAGAGTCGAGTGAACACAAGTCTCCAGTGTACTATCCTAAAGTAATGGCTTTCAACTGTAGTCATGAAAACTAACCAGGCCATGGTCAGTGGTGGGGTTGGGTGAGTCTCAAAGCAGAAATCTATATACTTTAAGCTGATGGTATTTTAAATATTTTTATTTCTTTCACATTTTTCTCTGATGTTCACAAGGAAGGAAATGTACTCAATTGCTATTCCTGTATCATTTAATCCGCTCTATTTTATTTTTCAGGGAAACACCTTTGTCCAGGTCCCTCATTTTCTGGACCTTCTCAGCCCTTCTGGGCACTGGCAGTGGTTGGTGGAGTCCTGGCTTCCTACAGCTTGCTAGTAACAGTGGCCCTTAGTGTTTTCTGGGTAAGAGAAGCAGCACTGCTTTTATGTAACTTTTCCACTGCACATGCAATCTGAACATATTCAAGAAGTTTGCCTATGTGGTTTATTTTTTGCTTAATATATGATGATGATTATTTTCTTTTCCACATGCTTGAGTAGGTTTTCTTTTAGCCTATTCAACTTTATCTGAGCTAAAAATCTGATATGAGTTGATTTCCCAGAAGTCACTGAGTAGGTGGCCAGGCAGAATAAGAAGCTAAATGGGCAAATTAGGGTGGGGGGATTAGGAGCAGTTACCTTTCTTCTTCCCATTTTGCGATGTAATTATGACACATAAAACAGTGTTAATGTATATGCATGTATAAACAGCTAGGCAACTTGGGAAGCTAGGCAACTAAAGCCAATGTACAATGTTGGCTTGATCAAAAATCATGAGAAACTTGGCTACTGAAATTGTGTATTCAAACCTAGCAAAGAAACTACATCTGTTTATCTGAGTCATATTTTTTTCTCTTCTGAAGTAGTTGAATTGTGTGAGGCCAAGTACAGTGCTGTCATTATGAAACTATAATGGGAGTTAGAATTTTCTGAGCTCTCACCACTGAATTGAAGTACCAACTTTTGCAAATGTTTATGTTATAAATGCGGTGTATTTTTCTTTACTTTCCTCAACATTGAATTTTTGGCCTAGGTTTGAACACATTTTGATGAAGCTGTCTACAGTTAAGAATGGACCCCTGAGTGACAATATTTTTCTTACTGGGAAACTTCTTATGCACACAGTATGGTACAGAATACCTCATGTATTGACTCCATGTTGTCTTTGAATTTTTTTCTAGAAGTTACATCCATGTATGAGTCACTTCTTCAATGAAAAATATATTCTCTTCAAGAATAAAAGACTATTTCTCTTGATATTCTCCATCCACTACTTCTCTTGATATTCTCCATTTGATATTAAGTACATTTGATATTAAGCTAATGAATGCTTATTGGATTGATGAATTGATAACCTCCAGAGAGGTCAGATTAAGGATTTAAATGAGTCTGCCTGAAGTATGATACTCATCTTTAAGGCATAATCCATATATTTACCTAAATCCATATATTTACCTAATTCATAGATGGGTCAGTGATTTCTGAAAGCCATACCATGTGAAGCCATGCTGTTTACTCTCAGCTTGGTGACTGGGAGTACAGACCTGGCTCCATAGTTGTGGCTTCCCATTATCCAGTCTTAGATCCTTTTGGACTTTTCTTGGCCTATTGCTGAAGTTTACCTTTTAATCGTTCCCCACATGGTCCTTGCAGTTGAGAAGACCCTAGGGCTCAGATGGACATTTGTCAGGCTGCCTGTTGCCTAATCTGTACTTGCTGCAGGGTAGAACACAAAGTGGTTGCTTGTTCCTGGAAATTCCTCATACAAGGTATCATCTAAGGAATTTGCCTGGCTTGCCTTCTGCAAGTAACCCAACCCTGAAGGTGGGGACTGGTATTGTAAAATATTGCCTGAATTCTGCCTCTCATGCTAGTTGACTTTCATCTTTCCAGATCTTGGTGTCTTCATCCAATTTACCTTCTAGCTTTGATCCTCTGTGGTGTTTGCTGATAATTTTAGAATTTTTAGAATTCTTAGTTCTTATTTCTTCCTAGTCTCTGGCCATTGGCTTTTATGCCTACCATATGGCTTTTCAATCCTCTCATTGGGAATCTCAACTTCCTAACTTAAAGGCCAGGTGCAGTGGCCCTTTGGGTACCCCTCCAGGAAAGGCACTCCCAGGTGACATGCTGACCTAGGTCAAGGTAATTTACTAGCTCTGCAGAAAGTAGTTTTGGGAACTACTTTAACCTTCAGTGGCCAGAGGACACTGCTCATTATTGATAACTTACTCTAAATATGCATTAGAATGTCAGTTAGTATAATGAGACACCAATTTACTGAGTGACTTGAGTTACCCAAAGGGATGAAAGCAGCTTCTCACTTTCAATGAGTTTTAACCATTCACTTTCAACTCAGACACACCATAGACACTCTGGGTTTCTCCTTGGCAGCACTACTAATTCCTAGTGAGGTTCATCTTGCTTTGTCTTAAAAAAATATATTTTTGTTTTACTTTGTCTTACAGACTCCCTGTGAATTGGGCAGCCTTGTCATTTTTGGCCTTTTGTAGTCAGTTCAGTTACCCAGTAAGAACTGCCATTTATCTGCATCTCACACCTGGGTCTTTGTACTCTTATCAAAAGAGTATAGGCTGGGTGCGGTGGCTCACACCTGTAATCCCAGCACTTTGGGAGGCCGAGGCGGGTGGATCACGAGGTCAAGAGATCAAGACCATCCTGGCCAACATGGTGAAACCCCGTCTCTACTAAAAATACAAAAAATTAGCTGGGCATGGTGGCGCGTGCCTGTAATCCCAGCTACTCAGGAGGCTGAGGCAGGAGAATTGCCTGAACCCAGGAGGCGGAGGTTGTGGTGAGCCAAGATCACGCCCTTGCACTCCAGCTTGGGTAACAAGAGCGAAACTCCATCTCAAAAAAAAGAAAAAGTATAAGTACAAGTTTGTCTATGTTTCATTAAATAACATAGTATTTTTACTCTGGGGTCATCTTTTTCTGCTGTTGCTGTTTAAGCAACAAGTACATTGCTGAGCTGGGCATCTAGACCATTATGGATCCCTGGAGTTTAGCTATTTCCTCGGTAATTTTCTGAGATCCTATTTTTGGCTGGTCTGCAGCGTGCCTTGATGAAGTTGCTGTTTTCTGGAACTTCCTGAGGGCCTACAATATGCTACTGTAGGCAGTTCCAGGTTGAGTGGGCTTCTAGGCTGCGTGGGTTTCTGGGAGCAGCTGCAGATTCTATCTCAGTTCTTGACCTGATGTTGACATTTGAATAAATAAAGAACTCCCTTCGGTCAAGCTGCCACAGACCAGCACCTGCCACTGTCTTTCAATTCTCCACTTACGCAGCTGTGCTGGTAAAGCTGCCCCTTTTCCTAGCTAAAAGGATTATTTTAAAAAACGTTATGTTCCCCACTACAGATCACAATGTGAGGAATGGGAACAGTATGTGGACAGGTATTGTCTGCTTTTTATAATAATCCATTAGATTTTTGAAGACCATGTACTTAAGTAGACTACCTCGTGTATGTCCTGCGTTCTGCTATTCCCAGGAGACAAGTGGGTAAGGGTGGCATGGGGAGAAGGGCAAAGGAGGAGTGGTTCAGAAGTCACATATCATTAGCTGACATTCACTGTTGAAGGAGATGACACAAACACATAGGGTAGGTACTTCCTGCACACATATGCACACATGCTCGATGCACATGGGCGCTGTGGATTCTGCATGGTGTTTGTTCCCAGCAATGCATTTGTCATTTTCATCCCATTGCTGTGTTTAGAGTTAGTGTGATAGTAAGTAAGTCCACCATCTGACAATCTCTTGAGGATAAGCATGGGAGCTGCCTGCAGTAGACCTTTCATTATCTTTGTGTGCAACATGAAGAACTTGAGAGTCAAGACACCTTTATTATTGGGGCCTCTCTACCAGCTGTGGTTTGGTTTGAGTGTCTGGAGGCAAAGGCTGATACTTGGAGGTTTGGCAAAGGGAGTCATCAGAGTTGGAGTAAGTACTAAATATGCTTCCCAGGTTATCACCAGCTGTTTTCTTTCTTTCTTTCTTTTTTTTTTTTTGAGATGGAGTTTTGCTCTTGTCACCCAGGCTGGAGTGCAATGGCGCGATCTTGGCTCACTACAACCTCCACCTCCTGGGTTCAGGCAATTCTCCTGCCTCAGCCTCCTGAGTAGCTGGGATTATAGGCATGTGCCACCATGCCCAGCTCATTTTTTGTATTTTTAGTAGAGATGGGGTTTCACCATGTTGACCAGGATGGTCTCGATCTCTTGACCTCGTGATCCACCCGCCTCGGCCTCCCAAAGTGCTGGGTTCTACACTCATCTGGGGATAGACATTTCCTTGGCCTCACCCCTGCCCTGCTATGATCCTGTGCTCAAGACAGCTCTAGTCTTTCATTTACAGAAAGGATGTAGAACCAAGACAATTCTTTGTTGCAGAGGACTGCTCTGTGCAATATAGGATGTTTAGCAGCACCTCTGACCTCTACCTGGTAGATGCCAGTAGCATCCCTCTGAGTTGTGAAGATCCAAAATGTCTTTAGACTTCACCAAATGTCCCCTGGGACAGGGACTAAGGGAGCTTGAGGTGTCAAGGATGAGGCAACTGTGTATGGTAGTGTCATTCACTCAGATGAGAAACACTGGTTAAAAAACAGCATTTGGGGGAACTCTTGAGTTTTATTTTAGACATATTGAGTTTAGCGTGCCTTTGAGGTTTAGTCCAAAGATATAAATTTGGGTGAGTAGGTGATAATTGAAGTTGTGAATGTGAATGAGGTTACCTAGGGAAAGAGGATAGAGTAGAGAAGAAGGCCTAGGACCAAGCAGTGAGAAATTCTAACATCTGATTAGAGATGGATGAGCTTGCAAAGGAGGCAGGGAAGGAGCAGCCAGACCGGTAGGATAAAAACTGGGATGTTATAGATAACAAAGAGAAATAGTATCACAAAAAGAAGAGAGTTATCATTAGTATAGAATGCTGCTGAGAGTTGAAGAAGGTGAGGCCTTAAAACACGTTAGCTGTGTTTAGTAACATGGGGGCCAGTGTTTTTCAAACCTTTCTTTAGTGTTTACTCATGCCCCTTTGACAAGGAAGGTGTGAAGTGCTCAGGCAGGAGGGTATGGAAACAAAACCCGGGCTGAAATCATTCACTTATTTATTCATTCACTCATGTGCAGCATACCTACTTAGGTATCAAGCTTATGTGCCAGGAATTAGGCACTTTTTTCATAATAGAGAATTCTGAATCCAGAAATCTGATGGCTTTCTGTTTTTTGATGTTTTCTGGGTCATTTATAAAAACGTAAAATTTACTATCACATTGATCCAGAAATGATGCTCCTAACCCTTAGTCAAAAACGTTGCTTAGATTCATGGTGGGTGAAACTATTGCTCTTACTTGCCTCACTCCTGGTGAAAATTCATCCTGAGGGAGCGGAGCCTATGGAAGAGAGAGGAGTGACACTATTGTCTTTATAGAAATACATTCCCCTAAAGAAATAGGAAGGTACTAGTTGTCTAGAACTGTAAATGGCCATTGGTATGGACTCCATCTTTACAAATTTGTGATTATTCCAGACTCTGGAGGAGCTGAAGGTCCTCTTTGGTTACTTATGGAAAAACAGCTTGCTAAACAAATGCTAATGTAAGAAGATTGCAATGGGGGTTAGGCTTAACCTAGTCAAAGGAGGAAGGGCCTTCGAGTGCATTAAATATCAACAGTGGATATGTTAATTAGTATGCATTTTGAACTCAGGTCAAATGACAGCATTGAAAATAACAGGGATACATTTCTCTAAAATACTTTCATCGAGATTTTTCAAGTTCAAGTTCATTTTGAAGAGTCAGTAGTTAGGTTTGATCAGTCATTACCCAAGTCCGAGTTACTCAAAAAAGGTTAGTATTTGTCATTTGACAGTTAATATCATGAATAGGTGTCCCCAAAGTCTTAGAACTCCTTCCCTGACACTGTCCCTCCTCACTGACACTTCTCTTTTCTGCAGATGAGGAGTAGGAGGAGCAGGCTTCTGCACAGTGATTACATGAACATGACTCCACGCTGCCCCGGGCCTACCCGCAGGCACTACCAGCCCTATGCTCCGCCGCGTGACTTCGCAGCCTATCGCTCCTGACACGGACGCCTATCCAGAAGCCAGCCGGCTGGCAGCCCCCATCTGCTCAACATCACTGCTCTGGATAGGAAATGACTGCCTCATCTCCAGCCGGCCACCTCAGGCCCCTGTTAGGCCACCAATGCCGATTTTTCTTGAGTGACTAGACCAAATAGCAAGATCATTTTGAGACTCTGAAATGAAGTGAAAGAGACTTCCTGTGGCAGGCCAAGTCTTACAGTGTCATGACCCACATCCAGACTTACTATGTATTTATTGACTTGACTGAGAAGTTGGGTAGAAAACAAAAAGGGAGTGGATTCTGGGAGCCTCTTTCCTTTCTCACTCACCTGTACATCTCAGTCAAGAAAAGTGTGGTATCCATGGACATTTTAGTTGCAGAAGAAAGGCTAGAAAATCATTCCTTTTGGTTAAATAGGTGTTTAGACTAAATGGGTGTAATCTGTGGGTTAGATGGGGTAAGTTAGATTAGGGGGAGGGATAGGAAGACAAATATTTAAAAAACATTAAAACACTGTCTCCCACTCATGAAATGAGCCACTTAGTTCCTATTTAATGCTGTTTTTCTTTTAGTTTATGAATTTTAGTTTATGAATTTCCTTTTAGTATATGAATTCTGACCATATTTAGTCATTTTGACCAAATAAGGGATTTGGTCAAATGAGGGATTCCCTCAAAGCAGTATCAGGTAAACCAACTTGCTTTCCTCACTCCCTGTTTGGGACTTCAGTGTTAATGTTCACAATGTACTTTCAAAAGAATAAAATAGTTATCCTACACCAAGAAAGAATATGTCAGGAAATAAGGTCACTTTACGTCAAAATTATTTCAGTACCATGGGACCTGGTGCAGGGGCTCACACCTGTAATCCCAGCACTTTGGGAGGCAGAGGTGGGCAGATCACTTGAGGCCAGGACTAGCCTGGTAAAGATGGTGAAACCTGGTCTATACTAAAAATACAAAAATTAGCCGGGCCTGGTGGTGGGCACCTGTAATCCCAGCTACTCAGGAGGCTGAGGCAGGAGAATTGCTTGAACCTGGGAGGTGGAGGCTGCAGTGAGCTGAGATCACTCCACTGCACTCCAGCCTGGGCCATAGATTGCGACTCTGGCTCAAACGACAGCCGCAACAAAACCACGGAATTATTTAAGTACTATGAAGGATTATTTGTCTAAGAGCTCATTCCAGTCACAGCAGGCAGGAGCCTTCCTGTTTCATATGCTTCAGGATTGCACGGTTGGTCTCTTTATTGTTTGTGTGGAGATCCAAAGTGGGAAGTGAAAAGAGCGTCCATAGGAGAAGTGAGAATACTGTGACGAAGGGATGTTAGCATTCATTAGAGTGTGAGGGGTGCGTCCCAAGAAGCTTCTTCAGAAGGAGGGAGAATGGAATGGAATGATGAAATACTTGCCATGTGCTGAGCGGGTGGCCATCAGTGGGTAACAATCTTCCAGAAGGTGTCAGGCAGAAGGAGCCTTGCTGAGAGCTCCTTTACAGGGACTTGATGTGGTTTAGGGTTCAGAGTTCCAAAACTCTGGACTCAGCGGCTCCTGTACATTGGAGGTCCATTCACATGGGAAAGTATTTTGGAGTGTGTCTTTTGAGATCATCAAAGTTCTTACGGGACTGGGTAGGGCCTGACCCTGGAATGACCATGGATATTTTTCTGCCTCCAGTTTTAGTCAACTAGACTATGCTTGGGGACCTTGAAGAATGGCCCTTTGGCGGCCCTTACCATTTGTTTGTGCTTCAGTTAATTCAAGGGTTGGAGGAGTTTAGGTTTTAGAGGCACATAGACTTGGTTCAAGTCTCGTTACTAGTTGAACCTCAGGCAAGTCACTGCCCACCTAAGATAATAGTCCTTCAACTGTAAATGGAGTTAATGGTCACAAATGTCTCTTCCTCTGCTATAATCTCCATGAGGGCATGGCCCAAGTCTGTCTTTGTCTCTGCCCGTCCCTGACATTTAGTAGCATGCCTAACATATAATGTTAGCTATTGGCATTTTTGCCATGTAGATAAATTACGTATAAAAATTAAACAGGGGAATAGCCTAAGAAAAGGTGAATATTGTAATGCAAATTTAAACCCACTACGCAGGGATAAGGTGCTATAATTTGAGGGCCTATTAACTTCCATCATTTTCCTGTTTCTTGAAATAGTTTATCTGGTAATGAAATATAGGGCACCCCTCACTTTTATGTATAGAAAGAGGTCTTCAAATTTTCAATGTGGGAAGGAAAGGAGGGGTGGAGTAGAAATCTTGAGATTCCAGATAGAAAATACTATACTTAGGTTGATGTTTTTAAGTAGGCTTCCCTTCCATGAATTTAATCAGTCCCAAGAAGATCAAACTCAGCAGCACTTGGGTGATGAAGAACTGTTGAATTTACCGTGGCACCTGTGCCACATGCCAGCTTCTTGGATTGAAGAGTTCTTCATCTTGAATCCAAGTTATGAGATTGTATTTGAAAATGACAAAGCTGCAGAGTGTTTAGAAATGGCAGTGGCAAATATATAAATACATTTTTTAAAATGGAAAGACTTGATCAATGGTAATAAATGATTTTGTTTTCTGACTGGAAAAGTAGGCCTACTAAAGATGAATCACACTTGAGATGTTTCTTACTCACTCTGCACAGAAACAGAGAAGAAATGTTATATAGGGAAGTCCATTTTCACTATTAGTATGAACCAAGAAATGGTTCAAAAACAGTGGTTGGAGCAACGCTTTTATAGTTTCAGGTATGGTAGTTATGAAGAAAACAATGTCATTTGCTGCTATTATTGTAAGAGTCTTATAAATTAATGGTATTCCTGTAATTTTTGATTGTGAGCTCACCTATTTGGGGTAAGCATGCCAATTTAAAGAGACCAAGTGTACATTATGTTCTATATATTCAGTGATAAAATTACTAGACTACTATATGACTGCTTTAAATTTGTACTTTAATATTGTCTTTCAGTATTAAGAAAAATATGCTTTCAGACTAGATATGCTTCGCTTTGACAATCAATCTGGAGAGAACTTGCTATTTAAAAGAACTGTGGGGTAAATCCTTGTATAAATCTCCTGTTTAGCCTTTTTTAAAAAAGCTAGACTTTCAAATACTAATTTCACTTCAAGCAGGGTACATTTCTGGTTTGTTTGCTTGACTTCAGTCACAATTTCTTATCAAACCTCTTTGAGATATTGGGCTAGGCTTACCTATGTATTCTGTGTGATGTGAATGCCCTCAAGTTTGAGAGAGATCCAACTTCAGCCTTGACCTCATCAGTCCCTCAGGTTAACTAACTGAGCCACCAGTCCTCATGGCTATTCTAATGAGGCTGTTGATGGTCAAATGGATGTCTCATCCCTCATCCCAACCATTTGCACTGCCAGATGGGAACTCTACCAGACCTGGATACTGACCCCAAAGTGTTAAATTCAACTACATGCTGGAGATTGGAGATGGTGCCAATAATGGACCCAGAGCCAGAATCATGACTGCCATAGACTTATTACTAACCCCGATCAAAGACAGTGACATAGACTCTCTCAAGATCTGGGGTGAGGGAGTCTGTGTTATCTGAAAGGCCATTTGAAGCTCAGGAAGTCTCTCTTTCCTAAGCTATATGCATGCTTTCTGACATATTCCTACTTAAACATCACAGGCCTGCTCCTACCTCAGGACCTTAACACGTCCTATTTCCTCTGTCTGGAATGCCCTTCCGTAGATGACCTGGCTTGCTTCGTCACCCTTCAGGTCTTTGCTCAAGTGTCATCTTCTCCCCTAGATAAACTCCCTCACACCCTGTCCCCTTCCCTTATTTTTCTCCATAGCATTTTACCATCTCTTACATCAGACATTTTACTTATTTATTTATGGTTTATAAGCTCCATGAGGGAAATAACTTTGCTTTGTTTCTTGCTGTATCTCCAGTGCCCAGAGCAGTGCCTGGCATATAATAAATATTTATTGATTGAGTGAATGAGTTTTATATGGCCTTATGAATTAACAATCAGTCTAAAGGTTATAATCATACTTTGAGAGGGAGAGAGCCAGTTCTATTTTCTACTTTCCTGTTAGAAGTTCAAAAACATTTTATTAAAAAAACAGGAGGTAAAATATATATATAGCCAAATCTGGTGAAAGAAAATCTGATGAATATAAATTCATTTACATTTTAGAAATTTTTGTGCAGTGAGGAAACCCAATACTGTTAGAAAAGTCATGCCAACTAAGTCACTGTCAGGAGTTAAGTTGATTTTCCATTGAAGTCCCCAGATTCCCTCTTAATGGAGCACTGGCTATGTTTTAAACATATCTTCAGTTTAAGACTTCTGAAAAGTTGTCTTTGGAGTTGAAATCCCATCCTACTACTGACTTGCTGCTCTTTTTTTCTGAGGTGATTTTACCCCCAACAAATTCTGTAAATGCCTTCTCTGGCTTTGATTCAAAAAGAACTCAAAATGGAAATGCTGGGAACAGAAAATTCAGCTTTTTCACCTGTCATGCTCATATCATAGCTGAACACTCTAATAGCACACACACACACATGCGCACACATGCACATGCACAGCATCTTGTGGGTAGGGGAAGCGAAAGGCACTGAACAGACACAAGAGCTGGTCTAATAATTCATGTAGCACCTTCTGTTTCCTTTGTTGTACATTTTACTCTGAAGGTGACCCAGAGTCAATTAAATGGGCGTGCAATGAATTCATCTCCCAACTGATTCTTTTCTTTGTTGAAATGAAGCTTATTAAACTTAATAAAGGTAATTAAACTTGAAAAAAATGAGCTTACATGTCTCTTACTACTCCAAGAAAGACTGAACTCAGCTAGTTACTCACGGTTAGCTCAATAGGACAAATCAAATCAATTGGAAAGGAACAAGATGGGTTAAAAAAAAAAGTCAGCCATTAAATGAATCTGCTCAATAAGCACTCCTTTACTGTGCTATTAAAAATAGTGTAACCCAGTTCTGTAAAAAGGTTCTAGTACCTTGAAACTCAAGTTCAAAACAAAGTAAAATGCAAACTTCACTTCACCTAACACCTCCACCACATTCTAGCTTGTGTAACTGGGTGAATATTGCAATTGCCCATAACCCTGAATTCACTTTTTCCCTCCTGTATGGTAAAACAGATTGATTCCTTTTTAAAGCAGTACCCTTTCTTCTCTCCTATCTTGTCTAGATCAGAGACAATGGATAGGTAAGAAAAAATTAAAGAAGCTTCTGGATCCATTGTAATGGGGACTCCACCACACTGTGCAGCAGCAAGTGGGATGGTCTGGAAAGGAGACCAGAACCTTGTCTGGCAACTTTGCTTCTAACATCTATTTGTGTTTCTTAAACTGAGGCCTAACTCTTGACTTTTTGAGAGTGGCACTCATAAGAAAGTTTGGGGCTGGATATGATCACTCTCGCCTGTAATCTCAGCACTTTGAGAGGCTAATGCAGGGGGATGACTTAAGTCTAGGAGTTTAAGACCAGCCTGGGCAACATAGGGAGACCCTGTCTCTATTTAAAAAAAAATTAGCCAAATGTGATGGTGCAGGCCTGTAGTCCCAGCTATTTAGGAGGCTGAAGCTGTAGTGAACTGGGATCACACCCCTTCAAGAACACATGTGAATGGTGGGGCCTCTCAGCTTTCTCTGATTAGGCGTCCCAGAAGAAATACGTGGTTTCTCTTTGAAGATTCACAGGATCCTAGCACTTAGAAACCCAGGCCACTGACCAGAACAGAAGGTGACACGTTTTCTCAGAGTGACTTTTGTCTATTTCAGGATGTTGACACTGGGTCCAACACTTGAAAATTGCTTGAGATGAAATTAGGGTGATCAAAGAATATATCAGCTCTTCCAAGCTGACCTCATTCTTGGTGCAGCTCTCAGGGCCAGAATGTGTGCTTCCCAAAGCCCATTTTCCTATCTGATTTGCCTGGTGAAACTCTGAAAGGCCCTTGGATGCTGGGAATTTGAAGGGACAAAAAATTGAAGAAAGGTGAATGGATTGCAGGGTGGGAGTGGACTGGATTTTACACTTCATCAGGCAGAGTTATCTCAATGATAGATTGAAACTCTCCTCTGGCTCCAAAGAACAAATCATGAGCTGAGTGGAAATGTCAGTTGAAAAGAGCAGCAAACAGCTTTGTTTTCCTAGAGTTGTGGTTTTACATGGTGATGATGACACACGAAGATGAAAATGTGCAGCATGAACTCCAGTTGTTATCTCAGTGAGCATCTCTGCCAACACTGAAGGATATGTGTGGGTGTCACCTGAAACAAAGAGAAAGAGACAGAGAGAGGAAGAAGAAAAGGAGGCCCTGTTTCGGAAAGAAGAGCCAGTTAATCAAAGATCAACAGTGACAAGTGGTGCTGTTTATTTCATGAGCTTTATATTTGATTTCCTTCCCCTTGCTAATCTCCATGTCTGAAGTTAGTTTCTGGACTAAATATGTTTGTATCTGGTGACTGAGGAAGGGGTGGAAAAGGTGATCTTGAATAGGCATCAGGCTACCACAGTTATTTAGTCATTTCCTCAATCTCTTGGGCACACACTTAGCTTCCCAAGTGGGGATTTCTGCTAACTTTTGAGACCTGGACATATTACACAGGGCAGGCAAACTCAGGTTGTTGTTGGGGAGCCAGCCTCTTACCCCCAACCCTATGCAACGCTTGTTTCACTTGCTTTATGTTTCTCCTTCCTCTCTTCCACTTCATTCATTCTAGAACTAGTTAAGGGGCACCTGCCCAGTACTAAGAAGCGGGCTAGATACAGGGAGGGATGTGGCAGTGAGCAGCACAGATATTACCTCCACACTTACCAAGTGTAGAGTGTACTACTTTGTATATTCCTTCATTTTTTTTTCCTTTTCCTGCTCCTCAGGGTAACTGCTTAGTCTTGATTGTGGGACTTAATGTGCCTACTTGATAGCCTTTGTTGGTTTGCCTGAAATTGATTTCTTTGACATGTTTCTATTTAACATCGCTAACTCAATATCGTAGACCAGGAATTGGCAAATTTTTTTCTGTTAAGGGCCAGATAGTAAATAATTTAGGCTTCGTGACTATACTGTCTTCTTTAGATAATCAATTTTGCCATTGTAGTGTGAAAGCAGCCATAAACAATATATAAACAAATGAGCAAGGCTGCATTCCAATAAACCTTTATTTATGGATATTGATATGTGACATTTGTATGATTTTCATGTCATGCAATATTATTATTCCTTTGTTTTTTTCCCCCAACCATTTATACATAAAAAATCCATTTTTAGCTCATGGTTTGTACAAAGGCAGGTGGCGGGCTGGACATGGCCTTTGGGCAACGGTTTGCTGATCCTTGACTTAGATCTAAGCTGCAACCTTAGTTGTAAGTTTATTTTTGAGTTCCAGCCACCTTCTACATTTTTAGCGCCAGAAGGAATCTGTTAGAATGTGTGTAAAGGCTTCTTGGGAGTGATGTGTGTCAAGTATCTCTTTTGAAAGAAGGACATAGATCAATAAAGAAGAAGGAAGACCTTTCGTTTAAGGAAAGCCATTTGAGGATGAAGAAATGGGAAATCATAAGTAAAGGGAATAAGAAGCTGTTTCAGGATGACAGAGTCTTCTCTTTATTGTTATTATTATTAATTTTGACAGAGTCTTGCTCTGTTGCCCAGGCTGGAGTACAGTAGCGTGATCTGAGCTTACTGCATCCTCTGTCTCTCAGGCTTAAGCAATTCTTATGCCTCAGTCTCCTGAGTAGCTTGGACGACAGGCACACATTACCACTCTCAACTAATTTTGTTTTGTTTTGTTTGGTAGAGATGGTGTTTGACCATGTTGGCCAGGCTGATCTCAAACTCTTGGCCTTAAATGATCCACCCACCTTGGCCTCCCAAAGTGCTGGGATTACAGGCATGAGCCACTATGCCCAGCCTGTATTACTGATGAAAGCCGAAACGTCTTGGGAACTGTAGTTCCTTTTCTCTCAAGTCCTTTCCACTCTTCCCTCTTTTCTAGGCATCAGATCCTTGCAATCTCCAAGGAAACAAATTTCTATGCAAAGAAGGAAAGGGGCAGAAAATGGTCTGCATCCTATGTGATGAGCAGACTTGACTTCCCTGCTAATTCTTCCCTACATAGTACACCCAAATCCAACTCCGGGTGTGTGGAGAAGAGATCAGAAGCAGCTGTCTCAGAATTGGCCTCCTACTTTCTACCTATTTCATTTTTTTTAATCTGCACTTGGCTGCCATTTATGGGTGACTAAGTGTAACCCCTCATGAATCTACATTAAGGCTCAGCATTTCACAAGTAGCTGATGAAATCAGTGTTACTCAGATCAGAAAGGCACCGACTTAACCCTTACCAACCCTTGCCCCATTCCTTACTCCCATCTACAGCTGCTTGTTACACCCAAGGTACAAATTGTTCCTGGAGGCAGCCCAGCATATGGGGGCACCCTGAGCCACACACCCATTCACACCATCTGGGCTATTTAAAAATAGGACCAAATGGAGCATTTAGCCTGGTCTGTCCAGCCAAGATCAGGAAATTGCCTCTAAAAGGTCAGATGATTAAGATTATTGTGCCAACAGTCTAGAATGTCATAATGAAAAATGCTTCTGGCAGAATGAAGTCTCCTGACTTTGCACATGGTGTTCCAGTTCTGAGTTGGGATGAACAGTTTTGGGAAATCCCAAGATTTTTCTACTCCAGAAAGTAGGGCTACCGTGTACACTTATGCATTGTGTGCCATGCACAAAGGCCCTTGGTGAAGGGAAGGGAGGGGGCTGAAATCTAGTCAAGCTCCCCTTATCAAGTTCTGCACCTGCTTAATAAAGGAGAGGGCACCTTCTCTAATGCCCTCATGTATGAGCTATTGAGGACCTGACGGAACGCTAGCCTTTCTGCCACTTGGTTACTGAGTTTTATCAAAGAAGTTATATCCCCATCCTCAAAGCAGGAATTTTCTAGGATGAGCAATAGTTAAAACCA